TGCAACACTAGAGAAATCCTCGTTAGGTTCCGATAAAAGACGCAAATATTTCTTAGTTTGAAAGCCTGCCTTTATTCATATATCTTTCCCTCATGATGATAAAAATGGTAATGAAATAGACAAACCTTAGATCGGAAAGCTTTTAAAACATTAATTGTTAATTAATTAACTAACATTAAAATATTAGGAATAAGTTCCTAAACCCCTGTTGTTTTACATTTACCTACATCTAATAAGGCATTTTTTCGTAATAGCAAATGATCTGAAAATGGGAGAAACCCAGATACAGATTAAAGCTTTGAACATTTATCCCATTAAATTTTGATGGAAAATTAAGGTGATTTATAATTTCACTGTTAATGTTACTCTTAAAATTGATTTTGAAAGACAATATAAGAATTCTCCTATTGTGGAAAAAGGCTTGGTTTAGTGACTATCGTGGAATGTAACGTGGAAGCATACCCTTAAGTACAAAGATCAGATCAGCATGCATAAAAGTGCTGCGGCGAAGACGTTCATCATTTATAAAGGTTGGTGAAGTACATACTATTATTAAAGAATTTGGTGCTAAGTGAATGACTACATAAAATAATGAGAAAACGAACCAACCTGAGATGAGGCCCCATGCTTAGATCGACCGTCAACCTCCAAGCTATTATCAGGCTGGAATGAAGTAGAATGCAACTGCCCTGATGCCGTATGCGGATGGGAATGCTGATGAGCCCGTCGACCAGAGCCTCGGGAGCCACCTCGATGTGCAGAAGCCCCGCCTCCACCGGTACCAACACCAGTATTACTAATGCTACCAGGACAGGCAGAGGATTTTCTGTTGCCACCTGCAGGCCGTTCTAGCCCAGGTCCAAGACCACTAGAATTAGAGGCACCGTTGTTGGGAGTACGACTAGAATGTCCAACTTGCGAAGGTCCGATTACAGAGCAGTTAGCTTGTATCGGTTGAGTCGTAGAGGAGCAAGGAAGCCCACCAGACTGACGAATTGAAAGGCCAGTATGTGACTTGCTAGACTGATTCGAAACCTGTGATAATGACTGCCCAGAATGAGTTTGATGATCGGATGAAACATGACCAGTATTCAAGAGAGAAGAGGCGGATGGCGTAGTCTGTGTGACTGTGGGAGCGGTTTGAGCAGAATGTGTGGTTACAGG